CACCAGCACCGGCAGCAACCTCAGGGACTCCGCGGGCAGACCGAGATCCTGAAGAAGAGGGCCCCACGCGTGTATGTGTGTATGTGTGTTGGGAGGTGGGGGGGCGGGGAATCGGGGTGTTGGGATGCTGTGCTGTGTTGCACTGTGCTGTGTTATGACCCCTGAGGACCCCAAAGAACCCAAATCGCCCCGAGCGGGTCGTCATAGGGCCCTCCTTACCTGCTGGCCAGTTGGACGAGCACCTCCGTGTTGCTGGCCACCCTGGACGGCCTGTCCGCCTCCGGGCCCACCTGCGCCACCTCCTCCGCCTCCACGAACATGCATGCCCTGAGGGCCGGGGGGGGGGGAAGTGTGGGGGAAAGACGAACCACCGGGGGGCGGGGGGGGGGGGGAAGAGGTGAGATGAGGGAGGGAAGTTCTTCATACGCAAGATAATACACAAGATACTCAGAAAAGGGTGAGGTGGCGAGGTGAGGTTGAGGTGGCTGTATGTGACGAAATACGGGGTGTAAAAGGATCGGATGTAAAAGTCAAGAGGAAGGAAAAACAGATACCGGCATCCAAAGTTTAAGTTTGTAGCTGCAGGGAGGCTTAGGGTTTGAATTTGTTTTTTGGATATCAATTTGATTTGGGTCAGCAATGGTTCGGACGCGCTAGCCGGTGTGGGTGTGTGTGGGGGGGGGAAGGGGCCCGGCGTGTGGGGCGGTTGCGGAGGGTTGCGTTGAAGGAAATTGTGTGAGGTGTGGGCAGTACGTGTGTTGAACAGAAAACCCAACCCCCTCCTCCCCCTCCCCGACTTCCCGGCTACCACATCTCCCCTCGCCCTTCCCCCAGCCAGCCAGCAAGCCGGGGACTCCAACTCCTCAGACTATCCTCCACCACCAGGACTATGACGCTGTCTCTCTTGCCGACCCCCCCTCTCCCACACCACCGCCCTCTCCCACAACACCCCGAGTCGCGCACAATAAACAACCCTGTCTGTCCGTCTGTCTGTATTTCCCCCGTTTTCCCTCCACCCTCTTCCACCTCGTCGCCCGCCATCCCCCCGTCTACACCCCTCCCGACCCCCGAAACCAAACCCCCCTGCCGCACTCTCCCCGCTTTCCTCCAGGCCCTCCAATGCGCCCGCCGCGGCATCCCCACGATCGGCTCAGGTTGCTGTAAATGTAAACGAGAGGGTTTCTCCTTTCCCCCTCCCTTCCCCCCCCGGCTCCCCCCCCCTCCCTGTCCTCCCAAAACCCCACCAAAACCCCACCGAAACCCCAATGGCCTCCTCCTCCTCCTCCTCCTCCTCCCCTCACCGTGAGCCACAAGCTCCAGGACCTCATGACGTAGAAGGTGGCCAGCACCACCCCCAGCGCCAGGACCCCTAGGAAGGCGCTCATCAACATGGACAGCCAGGCGACAGTGCTCAGCTGCGGAGGGGGGGGGGATGGGAGGGAGGGGGAAAGACGAACCACAAACGAGTGAAGCTGGGGAGCTGGGGAGGGGGGAGGGAAAGACGAACCACGAACGAGGGAGGGAGGGAGGGGGGTGGTAAGACTGCCACTGGCGAATGGAGCAGATACCAAAGACGGGTAGTCCAGGAGAAGATAAATGCTGCAGGAAAATTTACTGGAGGGGGAGGGATGGGGAGGAAATTTATAAAGGAAAGGAAACAGGAAGAAGGGTGGTGATGGTGGTGGTGGTGGTAGTTGCGGCCAGAGAGGGCTACCAGTCCTCCGGACCAGGACGGCGAGTCATCGGAAAGACAACCTGGGCCAGCTACTGACGTCACAGCTCTCCAGAAAACATTTCCCCCTCACCACCACCACCACCACCGCCACCACCGCCGCCACCACAAAAACACAATTGTCAGCACCATTCCCACTTCCACCCTTTCCCAACAACCCCAATCCACACCGCCCATATGGGGCACCATCATGCCCGCCCACACCTCTCACACCAGGCCCCCCATAAGCACCAGCCAACAGGACCCGCATCTCCCACTCACACACCCCTCCCCACTCACACACTCCCGCATACACTCACACACTCCCGCATACAGACACACGTCTCGCAGCTCAGCTCCATTGACATACATACATATGTATATAGCTATACACACACAGCCCCCCATACCCACACTCCCTTCAATACCCCAAATCCCCCCATCCCCCCACTCACCGGTGTGATCTTGACGCGGATGGTGTCTATCGTCATGAGCTTCCGCATAATGATCCCCGCCTTCTGAGAGACAAAGACGGAGGGAATGGACGGGTCTGGATGACCCTTGGGCTTAGACATGATGATCAGACTTTCGTACACATCGTCGTACACGATGGCCGCCATGGCACCCGCGTTTTGAGCATTCCACACCTGCACCAAAGGCTCAGGTGGTGCGGGGGAAAGACGAACCACGTGAAAACGGGTGAAGCTGATGCCGAAGATACAGGCTGATATACACCGGAAGTACGCAAGGAGTGACTAACCAGTCGCGGGGGACTCGGTGGAAGATGCGGTGGGGGGAGAGGAGCGAGGAGCGAGGAGGGGAGGAGGGCGGGGGGGTTTAGTACACCACTTGGTACTTTCCCCGACGACTCTGTGCCGGCACGAAAGGGACGTGTGCGTGTGTGTGTGTTTTGTCGGTCACAAAACACATATTAATTGACAGGGGTGTGCGTGTGTGTGTGTTACATGGTTGGGGGTGCGTGACCCCATACCTGTAAAACTACTACCCATGCGAGACGAACGCCCATGGGTAATTAATTAACAAGGTGGGTGGAGGGGGCGGTTGACGGTCAGGGGAGAGGGAAACCTTCCACTGAGAGGTGTGTGTCAGGGAGGAGGGGGGAAGGAAAGTTGAAAATTGCGCGGTCCCTTTGCAATGCCTTGTTAAGTTTTTATTAGGCGGTGGTGTTTTTATTGTCCTAGAATAAAGACGAAATCCGTGTTCCAACACAATTATGGTCCTTAAGACCTTTACGGGAAGAAGACGTCCCCATCCCCCCCCTGTGGATTCACTTTGGGTTCATAGGGACGAGCCCAAAGGGGAAGTACTCTGCAACTTGTAGACACAGAGCACTAACGGACTACAGCCACGACAAGGGTGTAACACGGCAAACCCTGGCCCTGCCTAGGTGGTATGGGGCAACACTGCGACCGTCCGCGTGTTGCTGTTGTCGGTCAAGGCTCGTTACTTCCCCAGCACAGGGCGCCCCACCTTGATGTCAAAAGTGCAGTTGTTCGGGTGTAGCTGTTGCTGGCGGGCGATAAGGGCAATCCATGGCGTGTCGAAGTCCGTGAAGGTGAAAGGGGAGCATGCATCCTCTGGGTCCGCAGACTGCATGCGAGCATGATGCACATGCGTCAGCAGCTAACTGGCTTGTAGGCGAGATGCATGCCACAAGACATACCCGGAGGATGCCGTCTATGCCTGAGTCTGGAATATCTGGTCCAAAATCCGCTGGAATATCCGGAAGAGGATCCAATATGTATGCGCTGGTCTGGGACAAGTCCAAAGGCGAAAGGAATGGCAGAGTCAGCAGGTAAGCCCCGAGAAAGCTGCCGACTTCGGGTGAAGCTACGCATAATGGTAAGTAGCATCAAACATAAGACCAACGTCGTCTTAGAAGGTACAAGAAAGCCATTCGCAAGGCAAACATCATCCGACCAGTCTCCAACGATGCACGTTACGCCTGGGCAAGACATCTTATTGGTCGTGACGTAATGATTGCCATCCAATCCATCGCACCATAATGTAGACATCTGCCGCGGCAAGGTTCACAAGCTGAGCAAGGGCCAAGAGGCCAAACAACCCTTGCCACCGACTCATCTTACAAATTTAACAACTATTTTACAAAACTATAAGTGGTCAGAGCATTAGGTGCTGGAAAGAAGCAGGAAAGGTGGCAAGGGTTTCCCCCACGTATACAATTTGTCCTTTCTAACTGTGCAGCTTACACCTATTGACGTTATCCTTGCAGATGGTTGTGCATTAGAAAATATGCATACAGCGCCAGAGTCTAGGGTAACCTAGTCATCGCTGATGGCAAGACCTGGTTCCAGTAAAACCTTTACGATGCACGAAAAAAGACAGCTTGCACTGACGACAGCAAGATTTCATGAGTTGCTATCGCATGTACACAGCAAGAACCAGTTTTACAGCCTTTCCAACATAAATTTATCGCTTTAATTAAAGGGCAAGATCGAATTTACGGGTGGGACGCCCAGCTGCGGCCACACCAAAACGTGCGCCCCAAGCAACGCCGCAGCCATGCACCTCAACGACTGTAAGCAATTTCGGGTCTGATGGCACATGCTTGCTCCCTCCCTTCCTCCATTATATCAACTTCAGCCTGAATGAATAACGTCACATACTGTCCACTCCGTGTGTCCAGGATATACATCAACCACGCGAATTTGCCGACAACCCAAGCACCAAGCGCGCAAATTCCAGACGCCGCTCCATGTCCTGGACCTCGACCTCGAGTTGCAGCGTCCTCGCCTGCGCCCTACAGCACTTGAAAGAACAAGGAAAGCGGGCAGCACTTGCAGGAAATCTCTATGACCGTGCATATGAACCCCACAAATACACATTAAAGTGTATCGTTACATGCCTCCCCATCCCCCTTCCCCCTTCCCCCAAGACACACATACCTAAGTACACACATACACCCAATCGTCGCTTGCTAGAGCATGTCAAGCTCACCTAGTAATGCTGCGCTGCTGAAGCGAGCGCTGTCCACTTGTGGGCATCTGATAGGGTGTGGGATTTAGTAGTCCGAAAGTTGGCGGCATGGGAAGCAAGTCCAGGAGCTGTACGTAGCTGTAAGCCCGCTTCGCCCCATACATGACGGGCAGCTCCATGACGCCGTCGTTCCTGTGAGGGGTAATCCGGGGAGGGAACGCCGAGAAAAAAACGAGAGCGCAGGTATGATCGTATGGCAAAGTGGGTTATTAGATGGTTTCTAGAGTGGCCGTTGGCAAGTCGCGTGGATGTGCTTCCCGTGCGAGGAACTGAACGGCAAAAGGTTTTGCAGGCGAGGCCGTAAGATTACGGTTGCCCGGTGCAATCAGCTGCAAGGTAGAGCATCAGTATGTGCATCGCCTAAAATGCTTACCATGCAAGGACGACAGCGATTGCTTTCTGCATGTTGCCGAGCTGACTGCTTCCTGGGAAGTGCCTCATGTTTGTACGCAGGCAATTTTCCATGGTTGGGTACACGTACAGGCCGCCCTGGTGATCTGGCTTAGCATCTTGGTATACTGTCACGAACGGGTGGTATTGCGTTGTTCCATCAAATACTGATGTGGCAACGCCGTCTACCAGAGCAACAAGTTTGTACATCTTCTTGGCATGCGGTGGTGGCGACGTATTGAGGACCAGCGGCGTCATGCCTTGAATTGCCATGTTAAAAGCCTCGTTTAACGAGAATTCAAAGTCATGGGATTTCTATTTTGAAGGGAAGCGGGACCATAGCGGGTTTAACCGCTAACTTAGCGTAGTCGCTAGTCCTTTGGGTGACTCAGGTTGTACAATTCGGCAAAAGTTTAAAGATAATAACTAATAAGTGACCAGTTAAAGGAGTGAACTAATACGTGCTTGAACTTAAGTTGGTGAACTCTCGAACTGAAGGGTGTGACCTAACATTGGCGACAGTGGCGAAAGGCGACAGTGGTTCCGCATGATAAAGCATTGTTCCATAGCCCGTATTCCCCTTGAAGCCAGAAGACAACGCTGGGGTCTTTGAGCTAAGATAGAAGTGCGACTGCTGTTGCGTGCTGTAGCTTAAGCTTGTGCGGGACTGCTTCCCCATTTCTTGGATGATTGGGATCAGAAACATAGACCTTCATATGAACCTTTATACAATTTAAATGCCACCTCGACCAGGGATCATTGCCAAGCCCGACCCAAGACGCCGTTCAAGTTGTTCCAATTCCTATCCTTAAGCAGATCCATCCGAATGACCTGCTTGCAAGCAACACCATGCCAGGTCTCCGAGAGCCATGCTGGTCGACTGATATTAATGGCCCAATTCAATTTTGTTGTAATTCCGGTCAGACTTCCTAGGCTTTTATAGCTTGATGTCGCGATAAGCGTTGTACTACGATTGGTGTGATTCATGGTTGGGTCTTATCGTACGGACCTGATCTATTGGTACTATTTATACCCTGAGGCAAGACTTCTTTATTCAGCTGATTGTAACAACTATTGCTCATTGGGACTTTGGAGTGTCCTTCGAGATAGGGCATAGTGTCAGCTCGCTTATCCAGCTTGTGCTTAACTGGATCGTGTCTCAGCTATTTCTGGCTATTTACGAATAGTTCACAACAGGTTATGAGCCCCGCTTGACGTTGCGGTGGCTGCAGTGATCGTACGCTTTGTTGAGCGCATACATTTTAAACACCCATTTTTGAGTCATACGTGATTCTTTGAAAGAATGTCCGACATCGCTGGTTGGAGAGATGTGCTAATGGTCGCCAACTCTGGCGACTGGTTCATCAAGATGAAGGCCATCTTGGAGTGTGAGGATCTGGCGTCAGTCGTTCACCAGGACTACGTTTTACCCGAGGATCCTACGGAGCGGGAGAAAGAGTTGCGAAAGATAAGGAAGGCTCGGGCGCTGATAATCCTTCGGCTTGCGTCTGTCGAACACAAGATTCTTATCGAGTCGACCACCAATGCTAAGGATCTCTGGGCGGGCCTTGAGCAGTGGGCTGGGCAGCTGAATGAGGCTGAATTGGGCGCAGTCTCACAATCTTTCCACTCTATTACGATGCACCATGACGAGAGAGTGCACGACTATCTGACCCGCGCGGTCAGTATGTACGAGAAGTTGAATAGGTTTGCATTTCGGAGAAAAATGCGATTGTGTTAGTTGTTCGTGGCCTGCCCGATGCTTTGTATGAGACGGAGAAGAGAATTTTTTGCTACGTCCTCTTATCCAGGGTGGCAAGCTCGATCCAAGGGCCTATAGAGGCACCTTCCTAGGATACGAGCCGAACTCAAAGGCATATCGGATCTTGGTTGGTGATGGGCGTATTATTGTGTCTCGAAACGTCGATTTTCATGAGGATAAGTTTCATTTTCGTGGCCGCAACGGCGTTACTGAGTCATCTGCGTCTGATTATTGGTTTGTCCCTGCTGCTGGTGCCCCTGCGGAAGAGGCGGGTGAGGCCGGCAGGGTTGTCCCTGTGGTTGCTCATGCTGCTGGTGCCCCTGCGGAAGAGGCAGGAGAGGCCGGCGTGGGCAATGCAGGTGTTGCTCCCATTGTTCCTGCTGCTGGAGCCCCCGCGGGAAATGCGGATGAGGCCGGCATGGACACTGAGGAGGACCTTCCCCCTCTGTTGGAGGAAGATGAGGGGGAAGAGGAGTACGATGAGGGGGTTTACAATGAGGAGGAGGAACTTGAGTTGGAGGCAGAGGCAGCTGAGGCGGAGGCAGCTGAGCTGGAGGCAGCTGAGATTGAAGGAAAAGTTATAGCTGCTAGTGGAGTTGGTATCTCCGTCCCCCTTGCTGCTATGCGTTCTTACACTTGGGCTAAACAGCCTAACTCTCTCCTCATGCTTCATCTGCTCTATTTGCTTTATTTGTTGATATGTTCACGTCCTGATATCTTTTTCAACGTGGAAGCTCTAGCTTCGGCGCATTGGAGTTCAGTAGAAGCAGCTCTAAAGTATCGCATTTTGTCGAGTACTCAGAATGTCGGTATCCTTTTCCTCGACAACTTAAACGTCGAAGGATTGTTGCGATTCGGACTTGGCTTGATGGCGCTCTACATCTGGGTTGTTTTTTCTCTCTTGGCGACGGTTCAATTTTTCTTGGGTTTATTCCACTTCAGCCATCATCGCTGTGCCTTATGAAATAGCTGAGTAGTTATTTGTTGTACGGAAGTCTGTCCGCGGGGGAGTGTTGTAATTCCGGTCAGACTTCCTAGGCTTTTATAGCTTGATGTCGCGATAAGCGTTGTACTACGATTGGTGTGATTCATGGTTGGGTCTTATCGTACGGACCTGATCTATTGGTACTATTTATACCCTGAGGCAAGACTTCTTTATTCAGCTGATTGTAACAACTATTGCTCATTGGGACTTTGGAGTGTCCTTCGAGATAGGGCATAGTGTCAGCTCGCTTATCCAGCTTGTGCTTAACTGGATCGTGTCTCAGCTATTTCTGGCTATTTACGAATAGTTCACAACAAATTTCAGTCCGTCAGCAGTGCATCCGCGCGTTGCCACTCGCCGTGTGCGTGTGCCTCAGTGTGCGTGTCCCCTCTATCCCGGGGCCTGACACGAACCCAACCACACGACCTCCATCCGCTGGGCCAAACGACTTCCGCTTGGCCTCCCTTTCGCAGTGAGGTGAGAACCCAGCCATACGTAGAGCCCCTATGGCGCCAAGCCGCCGAGCCGCCGAGCCTCCTAGCCGCCTGACCTAGCCGCCATGGGTACCCGTAGGCCGTACAATGGCGCCTTTGCTACCTACAGTCGGGAGATGGAAAGTACGACTGGTGGTCCATGTACCAATCATCAGCGAGTCCTAACCCGTTCGCGACCCGCTAACCTGAACGGATAGAATACACGGTGGGCTCAGTGTATTCGCCAGCCGCCTGAGGAGCCACCCCGTCCAGCAGTGGAGGTGGCCAGGGTATGCAGGAGCAGGGGGAAGGGCAGTTAGGTACGGTAGGTATGAAGAACGTGAAAGGTAATCACAACAAGAGATCGTCTCTCTGAACACGACACACAGCAATCATGTGGCTGACGGCCAGCAGCGCTGATCCTGACTTGGGCTTAGGCTGGACACCTTTCCTAAACAGCTTCACTGTGCTGCGCTTTGCTACTGCTGCTACTGCTGCTACTGCCACCAGCCGCCAGCCAAGCATGATTGCATAATCGCAGGAGATATGGCCAATGAACGCACAATAGGCAGCGTGCTACGAAACGTGCAGTACATGCCACAATACATAGGCGCAACACCTACCCCCCACCGTAAGTATCATGCTGGAAGGTGCTTGCATTGCTCCCGTGGATACCGCCAATCACCGAGCGGTCATGGCAAGGGCATGCAATTGGGAACAGGTGGGAGGTCGGGAGGTATCAATATTAAGGTGCGATATGGAAAGCACGAAATGATCTCCAAGGCTGTCTGAATCGCCCGATGACAAGGTCAGGCGGTGACACGTCAGCATGCCAGATGTCTAGGCTACGCAAGGCTAAAAGGCACATATTGTACAGCAGGCGAACACAAGAAACACACGCATACATCGCACTCCGCACGGCACGCAGGATGCGAACCAAGCAGCTGCTGATCTGCAGGCTGATGAGGCAGGCTTTGGGCTGAGGAGCTGGGTGTTTGCTGTTTCTCCGTACGATGCAACGTAAAACGTAAAACCTCTAAACCCACGTTGACGCACATGGACCACATGTACAGACACACATACAGGCACACAGGGCACAAACGGGCCACCACGATCCGCTTACCTAAAGCCACTTAGGTAGGTGTTGGAGATCGAAGAAGGGAGATCCGTTCGTGTTTCTCTCTCCCGCGGGGGATCCACAATTGGCCCCCGCGCCGCCCGAGTAAGGCACACGGAGGGGGGAAGGAGGAGGGGGAACCCCTTTCGTTCTTCCCCATTGGGGAACTAAAGGACTGTTAGTTACGTGTTATTGTATGTCACTTGGAAATATGAACCCGGGGTGTGGCAGAAATGGGTTGGGGACTGCAAGGGTTTGGGGCAGATCTCCGAATGGAAACCATTTTAGATATTCAGTTGGTAGTTGGCTTTTAACTGATCCAACCACGACCGTTGCTGTACAACGTACCTCCCATGTGGCATTGGGTAAATTTGGATTTGACTGCGCTGGCTGTGCAGCTGCGGTGGGGAGGGGGAGGGGGAGGCGCGAAAGTATCGCCACGGCCCTCACATGCTGGAGTGCCGCCGCGGTGCTGCCGCGGCCGCTGTCACGGAGGCGGATGCTGCAGATGCTGTATCGTGACGTAGAGGTGGGACCAGAGAGGGTCACTTCTAGGCTGTGCTTTGGCACTGCGATGGCCTCTCCCAATGGCTGCTGTGTCGTTGTGCGGTGACGGGCTTGCTCCGACTTTGACAGTAATCGGTTTGCATGCACCGCGCGAGCTAAACAAGCATGCCGTGTGACGCACAAGAGGCACTAGACAATTTTGACTTAACAACTATCGAGAAAACCTAACAGCTTCAGTCAGGTTGAGCAAACAAGACGGGACGGCGGTTGCGTACGATGGGGCTGTGCACCTGACTAAGGGTGGTCTGCCAGCTGGGGTTGTGATATACTAGCTATGTAAACAGTCAGTCGCATCTTGATGTACAAGATTTCGTATAGGGTGAATAACTCCAGGCTTAAACTATCTATTGGGCTTATCGTTGCCGTAGTCCTGCCGCCCAACACCTGACCGTACACATACGGCAGTCTTACCGGAGAGCTGACTGATCTCTGACCGGTTTGCAGTTGCAAGCATCGGCTGGTCTATGTATGCAGTACCTGGCCTGTGAAACTTGCATCCACCACGAAGTTTAAGTGTTGGCTGAGTGCTGCATTGGAAGGTTCCACAGCAGTAGGAGTCATTCTTTAGGCATTATCATGTAATACTTTAGTCTCATTTTCGCGTATGATGACCTTGTCCAAATTAGGAAGATCCAGAAAAGGCGTACTTCTAGGCAACCATCAATTGGAAGTGCAACTGTTACGCAGATTGCAGTTGCGTAGTTCGTTAAGGAGCTGAAAGCACTGTAAAATTATTCCGGTTGTGGAGGACTTTGCGGTGCGATAACAGCTGCTTGCACCGATGACTGTCAGCCCGAGCAGGCGTCACGCATCGGCAAGGTGAGCCATATGTCAGAGCTTAATAGTGTAAGCATGTACAAAAGCGGCTTTTGAAGGACTGAAGTTTAAGTTGCACAAGCACGCACTAGCTTTCTTGGATAAAGCCCTGCACGATGAACCAATGTCTTGCGCTGTTCAGAGGATACGATTATGTGTGCCGCTAACTGAACAGTGGAAATGACCACATATGGCTTTGTGCTTTGGCGGCGGCACAAAAAAATTGCTATCTTTATTGCTGATTTTAATTCTAACGAAATTGGGTTCCCAAATTCTTCCCTTGGCTTGGTTCTTTCCTTCTTGGCATGTTACCATTAAGTGAGTTTTGAGGCTGTGTTTGTGTTGGTGGCGCCTGCAATGACTGAACCTCTGCTGGGCACATGTACACCTTGAGTCACCTGCTTCACACCGCCCGCCCTGCACCCCAACAGGGCGGCGCAGCGGAGGTGGGAGGATGTTTCAGAGTGGCCGTTTCAGTTCGTCGTCCTCCCAGTGCTGGTGGCGTTCGCCTTTTGCCTGGTGCTCTTCCTGGGCTCCAAGTGAGTGGCATTGCCGTACGGTCGCCCGTCGGTCATGGCTCACAGCGATGACCTCTCTTGTAGTGCCGTACCGCATCCAAACCAGGATGAACTTAACTAAAAGAAAACCTACAGAATCTAAATGTCTCACGGGTCAAAGGAGACGTCTCACGGGTCAAACCTTGAGGCGACAATGGCGACAGTCTTATCCCCCCCTGATGCCCCCCACCCCCATCTCCACCCCCACGGGGAGCTGCTGCTGCTGCTGCATCTACACCACTTAGACTCCTCCTACCCCTCCTATTCCCCCGCCTTCAAAAACCCTAACGACAAAACACACACGCACACGCACACAAATTCCGGTCCACACAAATTTTCAAAACCCTTTTTGCGGTCCTGGGCGTCCCATTAACTGATTGCTGCATTACTTAGCGCTCCTTTTTATAAACCTAGAGATCGATGTCGATCGACGAATCCAAGCCAGCCAGCCCCCGGCTCGGCGAACCTCTGCTTAACCCTCCCCCCACCAATCCTGGTCGGCGAGAGGGCCCCCAACGCGCGCGCGCACACACACACACACACGGCCATGCACATACACACACACACACACATACACACACACGCACACACACGGCCGCACCCACGGCCCCACCCACGGCCATGCACACACGCAGGCACGGCACCCGTCTGGCTGCCTTCCGTACCTGGTTCCATTTGCCGTGCCGTACCGGCAAGTGTACCCGGGCCATGACAGTGGACCTGGAGGGGGGCCTGGTTGCTTCTGCTGGAGGGTCTTCTGGCGGGGGAGGGCTTAGCGGTATTTCCGGGGTAAGCGGGTATTTCCGGGCTGCTATTGACATCCGACATTGGCATCCCCCCCGAATTTTTATGTCCAATAACTCCCCCTCCCTTCCCCCTTCCCCTCCGGTCGATGTGACATCACACTCACACACCGCTCAGGACTCCCCCACCCCCTGAATGAGGGCAGTTTCGGACTTAGGGTTTGGACGCCTTCCGGCAGTCAGGCAGCTCATTTATCCGAGTTTAGTTATCGTAACGGGAATGATTCCCCTTCCCCTCCCTCCTACCCCCTTCCCATCAAATATCATATTATCACATCAATCTATCCTTGGCACCAGCTTCATTCGTTTGTGAATCGTCTCCCCTCCCCCCCCATTCCCATCCTTCCTCCCCCCACCCCCCGAGAAGATACTTCGCCTGGACACCACCACTCGCGCAGTAGTAGGCGGAGCGGCGGGAGGGGCCGTTGCCGTGAGCGATTTCGGAGTGATGACGTTGGCGCCGGAGGATAAACTAAAGGTACGCGGAAATCAGATATGCGATGTCGTACGAAGTTGCGTGGCGCGTGAGAAGGCCGGGAGTTGGGATGCGATGCAAAGAGTGGTACAGTGTACGGTAGGCGCATATGTACGACGAGCTTAGCTGCCGTATACGTTGTACCAGAACACACATTGTACGTGTGTGAGTGGGGAGGTAATGAGGGTATATCTGGTGTATGTATGTATATGTGTATGTATGTATGTATGTATGTGTGTATGTATGTATGTATGGGGTCCTGGTTACCCGCTAGTTCTTAGATACTTCGGCGCGGACATTTGGGGGAGGGGGGCCCTCTCCCGCTCAATCTGCAGGGGGTTTGTGGGGATGTGAGTAACATAACATACTGCTGAGAGGGTGAGTGAGAATGTACTTTCATGTACGGGGGCCTGGTCGAGTCGGGGTACTGGCAAGGGTGATGTACGATGATGTGTATGTGTACGAGTGTACGTATGTGTGTGGTGGGGTTGGGGGGTTGGGGCTGGGGTTAAGAGATGTCGTCGCTTGGCCGTACTTCGCAACGGCGCAGCAATCATTACACATGAACTTAAGATTTATGTGCGATGTCAATCCGCATTATGCGTATTCATTAATTGATAAATGTGCGAACTGCGGTTGATTATTTTGTGTGTATATATTTCGCAAGGTACTCGGACACATGAATATATATTGATAACCGTATGTCGTACATGTTCCGTACATTGTGTACTGCAGTACGATTTCAACTACTGGCTCGCGAAAGGTGAGAAGCTTGTGGGTCAGCAGTCAAAGGACTGTGACGTCAACTACGGCATGCAGTACATTGACAAATGGCGTAAAACCCGAGTGGACTGGTGTGTCCCGCCGCCGGCGAACGATCCGGCACTGCTGGCGGCGACGGCGGCGGCGACGGCGCGACGCCAATTGCGCGACAGTGGCGGCAACGCCAAGACGTCAGCAAGCTCCGCTGAACCCGGCGCCGCCAAGAGCGCCTCATCAAACTCGGCTGCCGCCGCGTCGTCGTCGTCGTCGTCGCCTGCATCACAGAGCACCGCCGCCGCCGCCGCCGCCGCCGCTGCGGCGGGCGGCGATGGACTGCCGTTATCATCCTTGGTCTACTCCTCCATTTCGCTTTATCCGTACCACGACAAAGACGCAAATTTGAATTTCCTGGTGGCGAACAACACGGTGTTGGACTCCAGGTAGGCTCTCCACGGTAGAGCAGCTAGAAGGAAGGAAAAAGGGGGGAGGGGAGTAAAGGGGCTGAAAGGCGGCCTGGCCGCATTCGGATGGTGGTGGTGTAACGTCGGCCGAGGAGTGTCTTAATAATTCGGAAGCGAGATTATTTGCACAAAAAAACATAACTTCCCGTAAATCCCCTTCCTGTCAAAATATCCCCTCTCAAAATTCTCTCGCTTCCGGCCGGCAGTGAGCGGCTGGAAGGGCGAAGGCTTTCCCCCCTATACACATCTCTCC